CGTAAAGTAAGGGGGTTTTTTTTTTTTTTTTTTTTCGAGAAATCCTAATTTAAGGCCTCAATTGAAAAATAAAAATTGTTTTGGGGCAAAATTGATTCGGAAGCTTGTTTGCGGGAAATGTGATGCTAACCAAATAGTGTGATTTCTCATCATCCACTTTCCCGTAACCTTTGTTTTCAGAACAATAATTACTCGAAGGATTAATGAGAAATTGTGTGAGCTTACACAAAAACTAACAGAAACAAAGAACAAGAAAGGAGGTGAGAAGTACACTGATAACACAGCCTCGTTCTGTAACGCATGAACCATTTCATCAAGTTCAAACAAATCTTCACAGGTACAATCATCCCAATGTATACGATCACATTGACCAGCAATTAGGCATAACCTTGGATAAACACTCATCTTTGCTCCACTTACCCTCTCTAACAAACTTCTTCAGCCAGAAGCCTAGTTATTTTGGCATGTGGATGACACAGCGTAGACACTTTCCTTCTCTCATGAGTTCGAAAGCTTTGTTGATTTCCTCAAATGGCAGATTATGTGTAATGAACTCATCTATCTGGATTTCCTGTATTAAAACTGTGAAGTTAGTACAAACATCTGGCAGATTATATTTGAAAGATACTTTTGTTTATAGATGACCGAGTGTTGATGGACTTGGAGACAATCGATCCCGGTGACTGCAGAATTTGACATCGAGGGCTCGTTTGGTGACAGGAATGGACACAGACTAGATCAACCAACCAGTAAACTGGCCAGTTATTTCACAACACAGGATGTGCTCTTGTATAAACTCGATAATGGCATATCACGACATGTAAGAATTGTCAAGTTAGTGGACCAGGTACAAAGAGGCAGGTGTTTCGATCAAACTTGAAGGGGATGGGTTAACATTTTCGTCAAAACAACCTTCGGTTGCTAATATAATGCACTCCAGATAGTTATTTTAGTGATTATCAAGAAGGATCTGCTATGAATTTATGATGCTTTACTTACCTTATTCATATACATGTCAACTAATGAAGGAAGATCTGATTTTGGTTTCCAACCTCCAAATAAAGAGCCCTTCAATGTTCTTCCAGAAAGAAATAGGCCATAATGAGCAGTTACTTCAGGCTTAACTTTTGGCACACCGAGAGTAACTGTTAATCCCCATCCCTATGGTGTGCACAACAAGAAATAAAAAGTTCAAAAATCAATAAAGATTCTAGTAAATAAAGAAGACGGAGTATTGGAAAGAAAGGTACATCACAGCAAGATTGTAGTGCAGTTGTAATCATTCCAGTGTCACCGATGCATTCAAATGAGTAATCTGCCCCTCCGTCAGTAATACGTTTGATAACCTGAAAAATTAAACATCACAAAGACAAGGTAAAATTAATACAAAATCAAGGTGGCTTCTGGTATATCCATTTTCCCATTTCTTAAAAGTACAATAAGCAGCCAACCCTCTATCTGTAAATCTTTACTCTCCTTTTTCCATCCCTGTCTAATCATCTATCTGCCTTGTGAATGTCCCTTTTATCAAAATTTAAAATTAACATACATTTTTTATGTTAAAGATTAAAGAAATTCCTCATTCCTGCAGTTTAGGTGAATGATACCTGTTGAATAGGTTCGTTGCAGTCATTTGGGTTGATAAACTCAGTTATTCCAAAATCCTTAGCTGCACCCCCGTAAGAGAATCTCCATTAAGATCCAGAGATATTGGATTGCTTATAAACACAGAACCAAGAATTTTAAAGTGCAATGCTTAATCATACCCTTGTCACATTTTTCAGGGTTAGTGTCAACACCAATTATTTGAGATGCCCCTCTAATTCTAGCACCTTGTGCGACCTAATCATAAATGAAAAAAAAAAAATTGTCAACACCATGCTCATGAAAGTACATTCTACTGGTATTTGGAAAATATTGATGCTATAGATGTTACTAACAAGCATACTTACAGAAAGGCCTACAGTCCCAAGACCAAAAATCACTACAGTTGATCCTTTAGATATATCAGCAACATTCCATGCTGCTCCCAAACCTGAAATTGAACGATAGTTATCATGCTCAATCCTACCAATGATTACATTGACACTCACGTGCTATTGGAGTGATAGCCATGTTATCATCTACTTTCTTGCTTATCAATCTTATACCGGAAGGTGGATGGAGAATCTATATTTGTCACCTCTGGCCCTCCCTCTCAAACAACACAGACAACCAAAAAATTCCTGAACACCATTGGCTGGAGCCTGTGGTGAGGGACCATCCCTGGTTTTTTAGCCATGTTCCATGGACCTCTCACCTATTCAATTAAAAGACACCCCCGTTTCTTCTTGTTACATGTTGGTTGCAGGTGTATACCTAAACAATTGGGGATGATTGTGGGATTGAATGTGATGAGAAGATATAGACAGAAGACCCTAACATTAACTTGATAATAATATCGTGACTCTAAATACCATACCGGCAGCCAGACCACAACTAAGAAGGCATATTTTCTCCAGAGGTGCAGCGGAGCTAACTTTAACAGCACATCCAGTGTGCACCACTGTATATTCACTGAAACTTGAAACTGCACAATAATGATAAACTGGTTTCCCATTTATCGAGAAGCGTGTTCCTTGGTCACTATGCATTACACCTCGCCTTTCCAACCCCAATACTTGGCACATGTTGCTTTTTCCAGACATACACTGTCTACATGTCTTGCATTCTCCAGTGAACACTGTGAGCACATGGTCGCCCTCTTGAAATTCAGTCACTCCCTTCCCAATACTCTCAACAATCCTGCAGATTTATTGTTAGAAATTTAACATAAATTGCCAACCTCGCTGCACAGTAGACAATCTTTATTCTTTAAATCTCAACTACAATTCGGTAGTAGTAAGATGTACAATTTGCATTAGTGCTTCTCATGCAAAACATAGTGATATAAAATGCTATTATCTTGCAAATTCTCTATCACAGAACATTTTTGTACGAAATCTAAGACAAATTTTAGCTACCAACTAATGGTCTAGATTCTCATATTAAACTGACCAACAGATGCACATACACATTTGTTTGAACTTTGATCTAGAACAATTAAACAAATCCAGTAATCATAGGAACCTCAATTTTGAATAAATCATTTTATAATTATGCACAGGCATGCAGAGCATTATACAATTAGATTACAAGTAAAAGGTGCAGAAAAGACCCTGATGCTTCGTGGCCAAATATCCGAGGAAATATAGCCTGCAACAAACAAGCATGTTCTATTAGATATTCAGCCTGTTGACTTGATTGATTTACAACTCCCAACTAAAACAAAAAATTCTAACTATAACATAAACATGAGCATGTATTTCTTTGTTTCAATTGACGAGGATGGGTGGACTGACATACTAATTTTAAGATAACCCACCTCCCAAAAACTTGAATGAAAACATTTTCTTCCAGAATAATTTCAAGATACACCAATTTCAATTGCATTAGCTTAGAATCCAGTTCAATATATATAGCAATTGAGTTTGAGAAGTTGCCATTATTTAATGTTTAAGCTCCGTTCAATAAGAAAGTAGACTGGAATTGGTTGGCTTGGGTTGACTAAAAATTATGAAACAGTAAGTAAAAATAGGTAGAAAGTAGGGTTAAATTACATGAGAATCCAGAGCAGAGAGGTCACTGCGGCAGAGAGAGGTAGTGACCACTTTGATTCTGATCTCTTGAGGGTGTGGAGGACTCACTTCCACTTCCTGCATCACCATTGCCTCCCCAGCTCCCCATGCCACCGCAGCTTTTTATCAAAATCATTAAACAAACAACAATGCAATTTTATAAACTTAGATAAACAAATCATCATCATCATCATGTCAGAAAAACAAAACAAGAAAGTTACCTTTGCAAGTGATGGCATTGGGTTGCTTGATCGAAGATGACATTTTGATTGCTTTTTCAAAGGGATATGGTGGCAGAGAAGAGAATCTTGAAGGTTTCGCAAACGAGATGGTAGAGTCAATGAGAGTTTGCGTTTCTCTCTGTTTAGTAAATGGCAGGAAACAAAGATGGGTAGGTAGGTCGGTAGGTACAGGGAAGTGGGGACTCTTTTTTCAAGTTCGGTAGCTGGTGAATACATACATACATACATACATATATATATATATATATACATACATATATATGCAAAAAAATTCAAAAATTACCTGTCATAATAATTTTAAAAAAATTGACAGAATGGTCATAGAATATGTTGATTGGTCCTGCAGAGCTTTATTAGTTTCTTGAAAAAGTCCATTGTTCTAAGCTTGAGTTATTACTTGACACATTTTATAAATGACGGTGGATTTAGTTTTTCAAGATTACTACAACCAATCTTTGTTGGTTTTATGAAGAATTATTCTGGTTAATTCTGCGTACGATAATGTGGTGACCTTGTTAATGGAGCGATTATGCTATCCAAAACAACATTGATCGAAAGTTTACAACCTCCATTTTTTGTTTCCTGAAGTACAACTTTTTAGCTGCGGCAAGCACCCCATTGAGTACTGAAGCTGCTGCTGATGATGCTGCTCTACAAGATATCAAGATCAGCACATCCATGCATAAGCACACCAGAAGCTAGCTAGCTAGCTGCGTGCCCATCCAGGAGAAATTGTGAATGATTTAAGCTCCAACCAAAAACCATTCTATGATGGACTCCAAAAATGACTTTTGCTGCTTATTTCCATATGATATAATCATTTTTATTCAAAATAAAACTAAAAATTTCTTGGGAATTAATATACTAGTTCTAACATGGATTGCCTATATAAGACTTGGTTAAAGAAAATAATTAATTCCTTAATTAGAATGAAAAATGAAAGCTAGCCCGTGATACCCTAATCAATACGTTCCAAACCACAATTTTTTCCAACAATATTGAAAATTCAAAAAATCATAAAGGCCAAAGCCAAAGGAGCCATCAAGCATTTTCCTTTGCAAACTATACATATCTAAATTTCTTTCAAGTTAAAAGCAGATGTGTTCCTTCTTCGCTGGCATGTGGCTGCGTGTGCAAGCACGCATGCGCAGGGGAGATAATGAAAACTCAAGAGAAAGATGGGTTCTGAAAAGTTTATGAAGCTATTTGATATTTTTCTTATTGCTATTGCTTGTTGAAACTTCAATACATCTTGACTATTTATAGCCTTTCGGAGCTTAACAAGAATTCTAGTTTCTGAACAATAACTAATAAGCATTATCCTAACCTAATCTAAGATAGTTGTAATAAATCAGCACTCAGAACTCAAGTCAGAAACTAAGTTATGCCCGGGTAGAGTTGCTGCCTTCAAGGCTGTCTCTGCCGCATACAAGTCCTCTTAATTCTAGATTTTCCTTTTCCTTTTTCTTTTAGGATACTTCCTCTTTCTCCCTCTCCACTTGCTGCTACGAATCTGCCTCTGGTTGCCGACTTACTGCTGCTGAAAATCCTCCTCCCGTAAGAACTTCTTCCACCAACCTTGCTGCCGGAATTTCTGCCGTGACTTTGCTGCTGTTTCCTTGCTTATTCCACAACCTCCTAGCTGTATTGTATGCATTTTTTAGCAGCCTACCTTGGTCCTCATCAGGAGACTGATTCTCTCACCCTTCCGAAAATCTCCAGCCAAGAATATTGTTGTATGGGATCCACAGAGTTGCATTAATGTGTCCAACAAATATACCGCAGCACCTTCACTATAGAGCAGAGCACATAAATGAAGTTAAAATGCTGAATTTTCAAGAACCACTCAATCATGATTTTCCAATATCTTAGAAGATTTGCCAATAAATAGGAAGAAATTGAGGAGCATGAGCAGTGTACTGCAACTATCAACTAATCCAAGTGCAAGATTTGACAATTCTAGAAAAGAATGCTGGAGAAGTTTACTAAAATGTTTTCTATTCCTCAATTAATACATAATGAAGTCCAGAAAGAGAATCCTTACGACATGTTGCTAGCAAAGAAACCAAAATCAACTGCAAAATGATCGCAATTTGCAACTCAGTATTCATATTCATAAGCAACTTAAATTTACTCTAGATGAACTGTAGAAACAGATAGCAGCAAAAGATTTTGCAGTCAAAGAGGATTTTGTGTTGATGTGCTTTTCCAGTACTATTGAAACAGAGCTAGCACACTCTCGCGTGAAAGGCCCAATGCCTAGTCTCTTAGAAGTTCTATTTACTCCCAGAAACTTATCAACTAAACTAGTTGTCACATGTACCAATATGTTATCATTTATTTTGTGTGATAATCTTACGAACAGAAACCATGAGATAACAAATATCGAATATGAATGAAGATTCACTTCATGTTCATCTTAAGATGATGATAGAAATACTTAAAAAAGTTCCAGATTTCTGACCTCTTGCTTCCTAGTCACAATTCATTCACTCCCAGAAACCGACCACCTCCATCTTTTAGCTGTCATTTTTCAGCATGATTGTGTTCGTTTTTCCTTATTAGATTCATCAATGGACATATACCAAATTTAATGTACATTAACCAATTTTTGGATGTCTAATGGTTCCCTCGAATGATCCCCAACTCAAGTCTGTTGTTTAGTACCGAAAATTGAAACTTAAAAATCCCAAGATAAATTCAATTAGGGATTGTTATACTAATACTATGCAATTGAGTTGCCATAATTTTATAAGCCAATAATACCTGAAGTCACTGCTACCCATGGGATACAGAAATTAGTAATGTTGAAATGCTACAGAACCACCGGTGACCGTTTCTTTTCTTGTCATAAATTAAGCACACCATGTTCAAATGACAAATTAAGCACACCATGTTCAAATCAAGTATGAAAATTGAAGCTTGTTTTGATCATGCACGGAATCCTGGCACTTGAATTTAAAATATGGCATACGATTTATATTCGTACTGGTCAATGTACCTTCAGGACCTAAGGTCAAAGAACCATATGCTCTTTTGATCAAGTGTCTTTCAATGTTGGTCAATTATATGCGACACCCTTGTATCATTTACAAAGATAACTATGAGTTCATTCAATTTCTATCTCTAGCGGCACTCCTTCCTCTGGTTGCGAACCTTCAGCTTCAATATCTTCTTCAGTAATACCAGAAGCTTCTACAGTCCTTGTGACCCATTCCTTGAGTGGATCTTCGTTTAAATCAAGCCTTAAGAGCCCCGCAAACATCCCACCCATGAATGCAACTGGTTCCTGTAAAGGAAGCAATAACATTAAAGTAGTAATACCTTTTTATCAGGTTCCGTATACAATAGCAAAAATAAAAACGAAGTGTAAAATAACCGAAGACAAATCCACATCAAGTAGAATGTAGGTTTCTGAAACACATCATACATTCACTGCTCAAGGAGATGATTCAAGTAGATTTGCTTTTGACAAAGAACTAATATCACCATGGCAAACAGACCATGCATTAATCCTTCAATCCTCCTAAACAGTAGGCAAAGAAAATGAATTGACAGGTCTCCATTTCACATGATTTAAACAACTGAATACAAATACAGGTTAAAACAATCCCTGGGGCTCTAAGGAACATATACAAGTAAAAAAAAACCACAGGAAACTCGAAGATCCACAGAAAAGGACTGTAATTGCTGAAGGGGTGGGAAACAATTAGCTAAGAAAGTTATGTCATAAAAATCCAACTTGATCCTGTGGGTGGATCCTTCATCTCCTACAGAATCACTCCCACTTATTCCCCCCAAAAATTGTCAAACCAATCTCCATGGATCAATGTAGCATATCAAATCCTGGTCAAGTGTTCTACAGCACTTCAATAGCCTCAATCAAAGGCGAACAAGTGTTAGGCTATAGTAAGCTTGTCAAGGTTTAGGTTTGGTCGAGTAAAAAGAGGAGAAGAACCTTAAGAAAATTAAACTTGGAGGGAAGAGAAAAAAAAAAAAAAAGACTTTGTTTTGTTCTACTATATATCTTCTTCTGCTATTATTCTGCTCAAAACCAGCAAGGATATTTATTTTTTGTTCCTTAAACCTCATATCTTATGGACTGCATCAAAGGAAGTGCCAAGAGAGTGTCACAATGATATCAGACTTAGTCGACCATGCTTTTCAAGTAATTAATTGTACAAAAATGTGCAATGTATATGCTCTACTGTAGAAGATGCCCGTACACTCTATTGCAACATTCAGCAACTAGAGGTGCTCTTTGTTATCAAGCTTCAGGAGAAGCATGCTTACTAAATACATGAAGGAATTTAAAATGTTGCTGAAAACAGGCATATATTAGTACTCATTCTAAAGTGGCCTGGTTATTCCCCTCCCAATGACCAACACCGATATGATTAAAATCTGCAAAAGCTTGATCATGTCCTGGAGTCAAGCTTGTAACTAGTTTCCATTTACATAATTACGTATACAACAAATCAAAGAAGTCATTCAGGATTTCCAACCAATCGGGGGATGCACTACAGGCTGATCATCAATAACCCCGTCTCGTACGATCTGAAGCATATATCAAACTGTTATCTCCTAGTTTCCATTTCCATAATTACGTATACAACAAATCAAAGAAGTCATTCAGGATTTCCAACCAATTGGGGGATGCACTACAGGCTGATCATCAATAACCCCATCTCGTACGATCTGAAGCATATATCAAACTGTTATCTCCTTTGTGTGCCTACTTATCTATTATCACACTCTAAAACCAATGAATGGATTCTAAATGTCTTACTGGGCATTCACTACTCCAAAGAAAACGTATCTGCTGACAAAAAGTAGGCTCCTTTTCTTCTAATTTTTATTTAACAAAAAGATTAATTGCTTCTTCAACATCTTCAGCGCAAGATGTCAGAAATTTATTAAACATTTTCAAGATTCAAGGATTTGCTGATGGGACCAAATTCAAGAACCCTTCAAGCAGACCTCAAGATATAAATCCCATAAAAAAAAAAAAACTACAAAAGGAGCAAGGTACCTTGAAAGCATCTTTGAGGATGGGTTCATTGCTGGGGTTGAATAGACAAGAAGCTTTAACCACCCTAGTAACATTAAGAACTTGCTTATTATGTTTGCTGATGGTGCTTCGATTCAGCCATGAGGGTAACTGGGTTTCTCTTCTTAACTTCTGCGATTTCTACAGAATACGGATGTTTCCATTCAATATTCCAGACAAAACAATCAATTGGAGTTGAAAGAAAAAGAAGTAGCAATTGAGAGCAAAAGTTCTTACCAATGCCCATGGGGAAGTAGTGGTAATAGAACCAGAGACTACAGAGTGTGCCATGTTTTTTTTTTTGGAGAAATCGAGAGTTTCTTCTTCTTAGCTTCTGTATTGTCCTGTTGATAAATGAGTTGCCAGTCAATGTCTTCATTTCAAGATTTCATTTTCATTTTTCTCCCCACTTTGTCCAGTAATTTCTTCACGAAACTTTTTTGTTTACTAATCGACCCCTTCGTTTATCAATCGTGCCCTTCTCACTGCCTTCTTCCTTGATGAAATTAACGGAGAATGTTTTGCTTTCGTTATGTAATGAGATAAATGGCCGCGCATTACCGCGGATCGATTCATAAATAATAAAAATTGTTACAGTAATGGTAGTTGTAAATTAGATTTGCAAACACCACATTATACCTTAATGATTTGGATTTAATCACGTAGACTCATATAAAATTTATTGAATAATAAGTATATAAAAAACAATATATAGTTTCACATAACATAAAAAATTTATTGAAGGCTGTACTTTTTAAAAATCTTATAAAAAAATAATATTTTAAAAAATTAATCTATATAAAATTAAGAAAAAACTATAAATGAATGATGACTATCTCTTTAAAACTAAATACATTCAATATCATTTAAAAATTAAAAATATCTAATTAAAATATAAATTAAAAATTTATTTGAAAAAATATATACAAATAATGCATTATTTAAAAAAAATTAAAAAAAAATAATCAAGCTAGATGCTTGCAGACTTAGTAAACCAGACACTTGGGTGTAACAAATATGCCTGACTCATGTTAGCTTGGGTTTAGTAAATATGTTAAACTCACATTAATTTGGACATGGTAGTCCACTAAGTTCAAACGTCTTAGGTTTCATAACCATGTCAGACCTAGATGTCATTAAATCTAGCGTGGTTACCAGACTTTATTACTATTTTTTTCAATAGTAATAATATTTTTTTAATTTATTAATAATTATATTAACAATATTAGCATTAATGAAAATAATAATAACAACAACAATAATAGTAATAGTAATAATTTTTAATTTCACCCTTCAAATTAAATTTATAATTTTTTATAGTAATGATATTTTTAAAACATTTATTAATAATAATAATAACAATAATATTAAACATGTCTAACCAAAGTTTATATGGGTCTGACACTTATGTCTAATTCACGTTTACTTAAGCTTAAAAACATGTCAAATTTAGGTTTGACAAGATTGGCAGGCTTACTTTGATTGGCATGGCAAGCTTGCCAGACCCAAGACACCTGAAAAAATTAGCTCTACATCCAGGAGCCTTAGATCTGACAAGCTTGCCAAATCCAAGACCTATGGATGCATACCTAATTTTTTTGGGTTTGATGTAGATTTGACATGCTTACCAGATTCAAGACTCATAAGTGTGGACCTAAGTTTATTGGGTCTGACAAACTTGTCAAATTCATGTTGGTTGAATCTATCAAACATGTCAGACCCATGTTATTTGGGTTTAACAACCTAACATGTTTAAGATTAACGTGTTAAAAAACAAAGAGGCATGATTGCTCCAATCAATCTCAGATGCAAAATTTTTCTGCAGTCTCTTGAATCCAACAAACTCCAAAAAAAAAAAATTAAAATAAACAATCCAACACAGTCATAGAATACTTATACCAACCTAGTGTAGTGATATAATACTTATACTTACCTAGAACAAAGAGAAACAGTAAAGAAACCATTATCATCCCATGCAAAATCAACCAAAATCTCATCCAACTGTACCAGACTAACACTCTCCCAATAACAACCACATAATCAGATACATCACAGTTAAAGTCTATATGTAACTACTAGCCCTTCTATATTAAACAAATCAGGAGAATGATAGACCATCAAACACCCATTGACAACAAACAACTCAGCAGCTCACAACAAGCCATACACGCTATAAAAATAACAAAAAGCAAACCACTCATAACTTATCACAAGAATCAACTAATTCATCCTCAATAAATACTGCTCCAATCCATAGTTAAAACACTTATAATCTACAGTACATGACTAAGCTCTTTTAGTTTTTTTTTTTTTGTAATATTTAATTTGCTTATAAGAAGATAAATGCTTTATCAATCGACTCCAGTTACAAGAGTCTTTATTTAAGTATATTTTTGTATGCCATTAGGATATTTATTATTAATAAATGATTTACATCGTGTACAATATTGTTTGCTTTAACTTTAACTTTTGGGAATTTAATTGAATTTTCTATGAATTTTGTTAATTAAGGTTGAGTTAATGTAATTTAGTTAAAATTATGCTAAATTGACTAGAATCTAATTTTCATTTTTTATAGAATATCTAATAACATATTTATAATATATTCATTTGAGAGAACAAAGTTGAAAGGATCATACACATGTGTTTTAACCTTTATCCAAGAAGATCACCATCAATTTAATCCAAAATTTATTATTATTATTATATCAACTCTTGTAATGAATAATCTTTTACTTATGGTTTCAATTATATAAGATAAAATAAAATTGCATTACAAAATATCATATGACAAAGCATAGGTTGCAAAATAGAAAGCGATTAAGCATTTTTTTGGTTCATATGAAAAGTCTTTCGAGAAATTGTCTAGGTTGTTATTGGCAATAAAGAAATCAAATCCTGAAACAGTTGTTAATTAGACTCATAAAAACATCTTGATGATATTACAATGATTTTTTAGAGAGTTTTTTAGTTATTTGGACCTTATATTGAAGGTTTCAAGTATTGTAGACCAACCATCAATATTGATATGACACATTTGTATGGGTAATATGATGTAAAGTTATTAATTGCAATTTCTTTTTATATGAAAAATGGGATATTCTCATTAACCTTTGCAATTGCTGATGAAGAAAATAATGACAATTAGATATAAAAAATAATGACAATTAAAGATGATTTTTGCTTTGTTTATAAATATATGACACGACCAAAAGATTGATATCTTCTCTCAAGTGTAGGAGTGTTGAAGTAATAAATAACCCGGCAAGACCGGGGTCGAATCACAGGGAGGTTAATTGTACAAATTATAAATAAAAATAATACAACAACAATAATAATAACAATAATAATAACAATAACAATAACAATAATAATAATAATAATAATAATAATAATAACTAAGAAAATGAAGGAGAAGAAGAAGAAGAAGATGAGAACTTTGAGAATGAATATTAATGTAACGATTAAATAATGATAATAACAAATGTCAAGGTTAGAGGTTCCACTAATGGTATGTCAAACAAGTATAGTATAAACTCTTATTGTTCAATAGGAAACCACACACAAAGGAGGTTCCAATCAGATTATAGATTGTTAACATGATTACATTAGTCATCTTATTCAATTAATGCTAATACTTGTAAATCTCGTCAAGCATTCATGATTATAACTTATGTTAACAACAAATCAAGTTCCTTTCATAACTCAGGTGTCGGTTATACCATACAATATGATGAAAGTGCCAAGCATTTGTTGTACCAAGTGTTATACAACATAAATCAAGATTAGTCATTTAACAAGCAAAGTATTAAAGAGTGAACAAGATAACAAATACAAAACATATTAGTATCAAACATTAAAGTTCATATTAAGTTTACATTATACTTATTATTACACCATTAGTGTAACCTTTTCACCTTGACATAATAAACTTAGCTAGACATAATGAAAGAAAGAAAAATAAATAAACAAAATAAGAACATAAATAAGATAAGAGTTAACTAAGTAAAGGAAAGGAAATGAAAGGCATAAACTTGATATTAATGAAAGCAAAGCATAAACATTACAAAAAATACAAAGAGAGAAAGCAAGAGCACGATCTTGATCTAGAAACCAAGATGCCTAAATGCATGGCAAATGCCTCCTTTTATAGGCCAAAATTGGGAACTATTGATTTGATGACTAATTGATGAGTGGGTGGTCAACTCTTGACTTGGTGACAATCTTTATCTTCTCTTGTCTGCCCAAAACATCATTGATAACATCAAAATTAGAGCCACTTGAAAACATGAAAGTTGTAGGCAATTGTCTCATATTTCTTGTGTAAAAAGTTTAGCTCATTTGGACTTCTAGAACTCCAGATATAGCCAAAATAATGAACAGTGCTTGGGTTGGAGGACAGATTCAGACTTCTTTGTTGTTACTACAATTTGGACTTGAAAATGGCCTTTTTAGATCTTGAGCTCCATATGAAAGTTGTAGGCCTATGTCTTACCTTTTCATCCATATAAAGTAGACCTAAATCTGAGATCTATAGCTCCAGATATGACCTAATTACCGAACAGTATTCCGGTTTGGATTGCACCGACATCTCTTTTCTAATTTTGGTCATCTTTTTGCCCTTGCAATTTAAGTTCTTAAAGTCATCAATCAATCCTTTGATTTATGTGATAGGCCTGCATTTAAAATGAACATTTACCACAAATTAAAGATATCTTATATTATTAGATATAGTATTATAAAACATGTTTTAGTTAAGGAGTTATTGATACTTCAAGTGTAAAATGATGATATAAAACCATGATAAAAATGCACTTTTAAGTACTAATCAATATACGTTACTAATAGTAGAATCGATATATGTATAATATTAGATAAACATGCAGACATCAAGAATGAATTAACATAAATTTGGTATCAACCTTTAAAATATTATCGCTACTATATCATACATTTTGTTAGCAACTTCAACTATAAATTCAAAGACCCAGCTATTAAAAAAACATTAATCAAGGTGTGTTATAAACCATCTAGGTGCAAAATTGATTATGGTATCAAAAGAATATTTAACTTAAACCTAGCATATAAAGACTATCTTAAAAGAAAGAGAGAGAAAATAGGCTTTATGTTATGATGGTGATTATCGATATGGTAATATGACAATTGATATTTCAAATTCATTTAATCATATTCTAAAAAATGCTTGTGCAATACCTATTTCTACTATGGTGCAATTAACATTTTACATATATGATTATTCAGTCAAACAAAGATGTAAAGTTAGTGATGTCATTCAAAATAGAGTAATATGGGCTCCAGCAATTCAAATTGAATTGATAATGAGTATAGATAGATCAAAAAATCATATTGCAATGTTGTTTGACTCCAAGAAATAGATTTTAAAGGTTAACACTCCTATTAAACCAAGTGTTGTGAAAGAAGTCAAGTGAGAAATCAAATTGAATGTTAGAAAATACACATGCAGTAAATGACGAACATTTCATCATTCACATGTTTTTACATATTATATTAAGAATAACTTGGACTTCACATGGTTTGTTGATGATTATTACACTATTTAAAGCTACGGTTTACTGATGTGTTTATCATTTTCATTAACATGAATGATATATGTTTTGGCTAATTTGTGATTATGTTATTTTTATATACCAAATTAGTAGCTACAAGATCTCTTAACACACATGCACACACTTGAATTAAGGGGAAACTAAGTCAAATCAAATACTACTTTGAAAGCCACTATATGACCATCATGTGACGTCTCATGCACCACCCAAAGAGTACAAGGACAATTCACAATCTGAACATGTTTGGGAACGTGGTTAAAAAGATATTCCCTCAAAATTCAAAATTTTTTTGCTAAAAATTATTTTTTATATTTTCATATCATTTTGATGTGCTGATCTCAAAAATAATTTTAAAAAAATAAAAAAAATATCATTTTAATATATTTTTAAACAAAAAACACTTTAAATCGCAATCGCTACTACAATTCCAAACAGGCTCTTTGGCATGTCTACTGCATGTGCCAACCGATTGTTTTTTTAATAATATCTATATTAAATCTATTACCCAAAAACCTCTATAAGAACCTGATTATTACACACACAAAAATACAATATTAAAAAACATAAAGATCCTTAAATCTAAGTTATATTTTTTTTAGTTTAAAGGGAAATGCATTAATTAATTATTTTTTTAAAAAAAGAAAAAAGACGATAAAGCTCTTAAAGTCAAGCCAAAATCTTTGCTTTTAAGGTTGATTAAGTGATTTTACAATGTTGAAGATAGATATAAGAACCTTCTTACCTCTATCCAAATTTTAAATAACTTTTTGATCATTTTAAACATGCAAGGCTTGATGGTTTTGTAGTGAAGGGTAAAACCACTACTTCACTATTGCAATTCACAATTATTTACATCAAGATTTATAGTATCAATATTAAACACTTATAGTTTTGATGCAATATCCCCTCTTTTCCTTTCCTCCCTCAAGTTCTTCATCATATGTAAATATTTTGTTCAAATAAGCAATTTCTATTCTAAGAAGTTGATTTAATAAAATTGAATGAAAATTTTAGTCATCATGGTTTAATTAACAAATGGTGGGTTTCATTATACCTCGCCTTATATAATATTATTTATGAATAATATTTTTTTTTATCATACTCTCTTCATGTAATATTATTCATTATAATAATATTTTTTTTTATTACTATATCCCTCCTCGTATAACAATATTCACTTAAATAATATTTTATTTCTTTCTTTTCTTTTCTTTTTCTTTCTAATCTATCCTTCTTCAAAAAAAAAATTAATTACATCTTTCAACATTAGATTTATTAGAAATTGAGTTTCATGATTTTTTGAAGTTAATTTGTTATCAGATTATCTCATACTTATGACCTATACTACAGATTTAACAAATTAATTCAATTGACTTAAGTTTTTTTCTTCTTTTTTTTAAATAATTTTTTTATTTTATCATTCATCATTGAGTTCATTGATAATTAGACTCCACAATTTACTACGGTCTACTTTTTATGAGGATATTCTCATCTCATAACTCAGGTAATGAGTTTGACAAGTTAACCCTTCTGGACTTTAGTATTTTTTAAATGTTTTTTAATTGATTTTTTTTAATTTCATCTTTTAATACTAGGTTAATTGAGAATTGAACTTCATAATTTGCTTCAATTTACCTTTTATTGAGTTATCTCGATCTTATGACCTAGATCGTGGGTTTGATAGAATAACCCAAATTAACTCAGACTATTTTTAATTATTTTTTAGTTTCATCTTTCAATAGTAAGTTTATTGAAAATTTAGTTTTGTAATTTTTTTTAATTAATTTTTTATGAGGAGTTATTATAATTTCATGATTTAATATATGAATTGATAAATTAACTCGGTTTGACCCGAATTGATATAATATATTGTTGTACTAATGTTTATTAAAAAAATCTTATTTAAATATTTATTTAAATCAAATTATATTTTTTATTTAATATATAAGTTGCTTTTAAACTCATCAAGATGTTTGAATCACATCTAATCCATTTTTGAATAATTTTTAAAAAATTCTACTAGAAAAAAGTTAATAATTAAATTATTTAATTACGTGTTGTTATCAAGAAGGAAGGAAGGAAGGATGGGAGAGCAGAGCATTTGGCGTATGTGTCTACACACACACGCGTGTTCTTGTTTCATTTTTCTGTTTCCTTTTTGTTTAATTTATTTCGTCTTCTCTCAAAAAAGAAAAAAATAATTGATTGATTTTATAAAATTAATAACTCATGACCATGCTATATTTATGGATTCACCCAATTACTCGTTCAAAAAGGAGACAAGTTGTACACCCTATCAATCTGAACTCTGAAGTATCATTTTTCCATGCCATTCATTTTCTTTTGTTTTAAATGAGAAAAAAAGGTTAATTATGTTTAATATTCTATGATTTTGTCTTTATAATTTTAAAAATTATATTTATCTGTAATTTAATATTTAAATAATGTTTTTCCTTTACAATATAAAAAAATTCGCTTTACATCCTATAGAAATATTTACAAGATTATCCTTATTTTTCAAAATAAATTTAATTAATTAATTAGTGGGAGAAAAGAAAATATGTATATAAATAAAGAACAAAAAGAAGAGGAGAGAAGATGATCAATAGTAGTGTACATAACACTGTCAGAACTCAGTGGTTTACAACAGAAGAGAGATGATGTAGTTGGGGTTATATTGGGCTTATGAATATTTAGGAGTGGGCTGGGCTGGTTTGGGCTGGGCCTATGAGGCAACGGGAGAATATCTTGGCATGGCGGTGACAAACAATATTTTTCACTTTTTTTTTGTATGTAGTGTGAATCTCATCTCAGATCCCTAAACCTAAAAATTCTTTCATTTGAAAAAAAAATTGAGAAACTCTTTCGATTTATTAAAAATAAATAAATAATGGGTTTTGTTGCTATTTAGGAAATTTGAATCGTAGAAAAAATTAGAAATTTTGGATCAGCAGCAGCCAACAAGGAAGGAAGGAAGGAAGAGAGTGGTGGTCGAGGGTTGGGTTTGATTTTTATTATAGTAATTATAAGAATGGCAGGAAGAGAAGTAAGGGAATACACTAATCTCACTGACCCTAAAGGTACCCAAATTTCTTCTTCTTTCATTCAAATTATATTTTGCATGTGATTGATTGTACTGTTTTGATTCTGAATTTAATTGATTTTAGATAAGAAATCGTTGGGGAAAGGAGGGAGAGACAAAGTAATTGATGATGAAGACATCACTTTTCATCGCATGGTTGCTAAGGTTAGACCTTTCTTTCGTCTTTCCTATTCCCATTATTTACTGCTGCTGCTGCTGCTGCTTGATTTAGCAAAGTATAGGAAAGGGTAGTTTCTGATAACATGCCCTGGCAGGGATTCTGGCTTTGATTCAATGCTGCTAACAGATGCAAGAGGTTGCTGGAGAACGTGGTGGCTACCTTCATGGCCGAGGCGGTATCTACCTCTCCCCATCTCTCTTTCTCCACATATATATATATATATATACACACCCACCTATTCTTTCACCGGATTTTTATTTATTTTTTATTTTTTTGGAATACCTACTTCTTCTTTTACATATACCTTCGTGAGCTTTGTTTATGCAGCACTGGATAGCGATGATTTACTTTATCTCAAAGAGCAAATGGAGGCTGAAGAGGATGCAGAACGCCTATTACGCCGCACTGAGAAAAGGGCATTTGCTGCTTTTAAAATATCCTTCTTGTGCTCATTTATTTCTAATTTTGTTTCCATATCGTCTTCTAATAAATGAAGTCTTGCTTTCCCAGTCCTAGCATGTGGTTGTTTGTGCTTTGGTTGATGGCTGCCATCCATGTAATCACATCTTTCATGACGCTGATCCAAGGAGCTTCTAATGTGTAGTTTATAGGGTCAAAATTTATTTACTTTGTGATGGTTAACAGCTCATAATCTAAAAAACTGAGAAAAACATCTGTGTCAGTCAGTTCTCATTCATCTTGTAGTTTTTCACAACTTGTCTTTGTGGTTGTTGGAAAATGCATCTGCTCTGCCTTTTTAATTTCATAGTTCTCCTTACTTTTCACATATTTATCCATCTACTAATCACTGATGTTTCCATTCTATTTTTTTTTTCCATTAAAAAATCAGGTACAATTGTGTTTTTTAGTGAGTTACTTCATGCTCAGATGCTAAATTGGTGAACACTGTTTTTTCTTATGCTGTAAGCATGCCTTATCAGTATTTTCCTGGAATGCTCTTTAATTTTTTCCATTAATAAAACTCGTACAATATTTTTGTCTCATCTTATACCTGAACCTCCAACTGTAATAGCGTAGCGTTAAATTAGCTGATCTGGAATGCCCCGTTGATTTTAAAGGATCATTACTTTGGCATTCCTATATTCTAGGTCTATCATGCGGTAGTCTACCATATCCTAATGCAGTGCTGTCTTTATTGCAACCCTTCTCTCTGTTGTTGTTTATCTTCCCTAACCAATGAGTACAAAGCTGCAAGTCTGGCAGATTCTTCACCCACATCAGTTCCCTTGTCATTTCGTGTTGAACCCAAGCCAAAGAGTGGAATTAGGTATTTCTGTCCCAGCATGCTCTTAAACCTTTTATGTTTCAGCTAAAAAGGTTAATTCTTTTTAGCTTCCCGTGCTGGTTTGACTTCTGAAATTTTCTTGATTATAGGCAGCAAGACTTGCTGAAAAAGGTGGTTGAAGTCAAACCAAAACGACCTAAAGTTTCATCTGATGGGAACTATTCCACCCCAATTTCAAGTGATCGTGATTCAGACAATAAAATCAAGGTTAACCAGGAAAAGAAAGAGCACATTTTACCAGCACCAAGCAAACCAGAAGATGAGACAAATGTTAAAAATGAGGCTGAGGAAAATCCTGTTAAAAGTTTGCTAGGTTTAGCATATGCAAGTTCTGATGAAGAAGAAGACTAGAATCAATAATAATGTGCTGATGCGTTGGTACAGTGCATTGAATGTTCTTTTATTGATAGTTGTAATGTTTTCACAAGTACAAAATTAGGCTCTTTATCTGACCACTAGTATCTCGCTGTGAATTCTATGTTTTCCAAAGCTATACTATACAATTTTTGTTTTATGCAGTTATTCCATGGTCTTGTGCAAAATGCTCATCCTTTTCTCTGTTAGTTTTGGATCCGCATCTCGAATTTGAGCACCTTAAAGCACCCGATGAACTTGTTATTGACCTTGCATATTTGGCATTTGCAACCTTGAGCCATTTTTGAATATTGCTGTTAGGCTTTGCCTTACCTATGCCTGTTTGATTAAAAGAAGCTCCATTTTCAAATAAATCCTCCACACAGTAGAAGTTCCATGACATGCTTTTCTCATCAAAGCCATTCATCCGTGTTGCCTTCTGAGAAATCAAGGACACTAGTTTGAGGATATTCTGCAGGATTTCCTTCTGTTCCTCTGTAGTTTATTCTCTACTTCTGTTATCCTTTTGCATGACCATGTACCTCTCCTTGGTCTTGGAGGGCTGATGGCAGAAATATTACCTCTTTGTTTCCTGACTAAATGAAGTTGTTGGCTTCACTCTGAATGCTGGGTCGCATGCTTCCACCAGTTGCATACTCTCCCCATCCTTCCTGAAGATTGCTTGCCAGGTGACCCTGCATCATTTCAATGTCTAAGAGAGATCAATGATTTGTATAGATTTGATTTATGTACTATAAAAGTTCATTTTGGACCGTATGGAATTCACTCAGCATAGGCTAATGTAGTTAGCAATCACGTTGGCATTCGTTGCTTGCAAATAGGCCCAAAATGGTTGAGAGCAAGAGTCGCCTTCAAGTTCTTGCCCTTCAAACACTCATCATCGTGCCCAAGAAGCATAACCTTGACCTGGTCTCTGAAATGGTGACATTTGTAGATCCAAGAGTGGCATCAAGAAGAATATCCTGGCAAGGATAGAGTGTGTTGTGGTCTGTCCAAGCCCAAGATGCACTGATCAGCCTGATTGCATCACCTTCTTCCTGACCTCTTGCCATTGCATTTCCATTATGTGCGCCATTACTGAGCTAGGTCTCCGTGCCTTAAAATTGGTGAATCATCATGCCATGGATATGCATAACCTACATGATAATGCAATGGTAAAAGCTGAAAAATTCAGAGGGCAGCATGCAGTAGGAGCATTCATTGTTTGCAATGTGAACCTCGACGCGTCGATCATCCATGGCCTTGAAGCTAACGTCCAATCCATCAAGATAAATGATCAAGGGAAATAGGAAAAAATATGAAGTAATTTACTTGCTATATTTAATTAAATGTGGTGTTCTATCCAAATTATATAAATTAAATTATATTAAAACGTGTTATAACAATTGTTTTTTTTTTAACACATTAAAATAATATTTTTTTATTTTTAAAAAATTATTTTTTATATAACACATCAAAATAACATGAAATATAAAAAATATATTAATTTAAAATAAAATATTAAAAATATTAAAAAATTTCAAAAATATTGGTTCCAAAAACTGCTTTAATTGCCAGCAACATACAACAACGGATGGTATGTTATTAATTTCTGTAATTCACGGCCATTGATCTCTCGAAACTAAACCTTGTCGATGGCAACAACTGATCCACGGCCATTGCTGATCATATTCTATTCGTATGTAAGTTGGCTCCGGTGCCAAAGACTTGGATGCCACTGATGATTGATTTGGGGAAGAAAATACAGTAATTATAACCCGCAGCAACAAGGGGAAGAAGAAATCACTGATGAATGGCGGCATGGCCCCTCCTGGCTGAAACTTGTTTTTGCCTCCTAAGACCCTATTTGTTTCCGCCGTGTTTTATTTGTTAATTATTATTTTTTATTTTAGATTATATTTTTAAATGGTGTTTTAATAAGAAAATATTAAAAATATTTTTTAAAAATTAAAAAATATTATTTTAATATATTCTCAAA